GCCTTTCACCATAGAAGTAGAAAGCAGTGGAGGGAGAGGGAGCGCAGTTCTTGTCCTATGGTAATACTATGTTGGTATATTATCTTCCTAATCCAAAGAAATTCTTCAAAGGTCTTCTCTTTTTAATTGACCTATGAATGGTTTCTTTTCCTTTACCCCACCCTTAAACTTTTGTATTAAAATACTAAAATTCTATTAGAACTGTCGAAACTGTGCTAGAGTCTATCAGATATTCAGCGATTGTTGCCTTTTTCAAATAAATTGAAGGGCTGCCCAAGACGAGTATTTTGAATTTATTAAATCTTATTGAAAACAAAGCTCATATTATAATGAGGAACCTTAAAGCTGGTGTTCAAAATTGAAGATTTTGTTATAAATGCATACAGATGTTATGCTCTATGCATACACCCAATAACACTAATAACGGGAACTCGAACAACGAAGTAGAAAGTGAATTGCAATGTCTAGAAGGATAACTATCAATACTGTAAGATTTAAGTAACAACATTCCATAGTTGATGCAATGCTAAGATCTAGATCTAACGGGATCACGTTGAGTCACCTGATTTTTTCATGTTCATGAGACAATTGCTTAAATTGTCTAGCAAAGTGCGAAGATCATATCTCCATTCAATTTCAAACACCGCACTGCATATAACAATCTTTAATATCGTCTAAATTAGCGCAATTAGCAAATCATGAACATTTTCGTCGTTGTCAATGTTTAGTGAAGCTCATAAGCTTCTTTAAACCTATTTAAGAGTCGCTTGTTGCTTTATTTGTATTATGTATTCTGTAATGAAAAACAGGTAAACGACAAAGGTTCTATAACTTCATTGCTCCAATTGTTGCGTTTATTACAGACTACGTTTGTAGCATATTAAAAGTTAAGGACCCATGTCAAATTTAAAAAAAGATGAAGTATATACGATCAATCGACTTCAGCCCTCTCTGTTTATTAACTCTGATATATTTCAGCGACATAAGAATTGACTTTTGCTCACCCAAACGCTTTGAATATATTTCCTAGTATTTTGTCGTATGAAGATTAATGCATATTGAGGTAGTAGTATGAACAATTGAAAATAAGTGCAATATTTTATTTATACTTGCATCGCTTTTATTGTTTGAACCGGATGAATTCCTTGTGTGATTTAGTTGTTTTGTTCGAGTCAAACTGCGTGTTTTGCTAAAATAACCAGCATTAACCACTGGATATACTTTCATCAAACTTGTAAGAATAGGAAGCCATAGACATAGAAGTAGTAGATGTTTGTCAGATATCTTGAAAACACCATTCTGAGACCTCGGAGAGTTTGACAATTAGTTCTTATTTAAATCTCTATGGAGTGATGTAGTATGAAAGAGAACAATTTCATGTCTATATTGTATTTGCAATTTAATCCTAATATTTACAGAATGTGCGATGATATTTATTGGCACGGCTTTTCACCTCACGTACGACTTTCGCATTTCGGAAATCTTGTTGCACTCTACCATGGAATATGTACATGTAGCATGAATAGAACTCTTTTATACGTATGTTTGTCACTTACAAAGCGTGGAACTGTTTTTTTACTTAAAACATTGCTGCCTACTGAAAGAATTGCGTGGAAAGTTTACATTACATATTATTTCTTAGCTAAAATACCATCAACTTTTCCAGAATATAGTAAAACATTTCATCATCTATTGTTGTCATTAACGTATTTTGCGTGAAGGAAAAAACTGTTTTTAAATCCATTCGATTTTGCCTGGAAGAACACAAAGCACCTTTTTGTCTATAAGGTCATAATTAAATAATACTAAGTTCGTAAATAATCTTGGTTGTTAGCTGCTGGTGTTGCAGCGATGTCATTAAACTATTTCTCAAATTCATTAACACGTGTAACATTAAATGATTTAAAATGAGATTTTTCTAACAATTTCCATAATTGATCAGTGGATAAATCAAATGATAAAATTCGCTTTTCAATCCGTTATAATGCCTTTGATAAAAAAGAAAGGATGGATAGCAAAAGATTCTATACGTTTCTCCGTATTTTATGAATGATTTTTATAAACCTTTTGACTCAGCGCTTCGAGCTATCTTCAGAATGAGGAAGTTATCTATTTATCGCTTCCGCTTAATCATAACAAATCGAAATTCAAGGAGGTTCTTGGGCTGATGAGCTCTGTTTTCTGTGCGCATGACATTAAAGAGCACTCTCTTTTGGGTAAAAATTGGCAAAGTGTGAAAGCACATGCCGATTTATTAAAATAGAAATAACAAGTATAACATAATATAACTTAATTATTTTACACAATTTAAACAAAAATCTTTACGAATAACGTTTTTCTGTATAGCACAGAAAAGGTGGGGTGATAAAAACGCCACCTCGGAAACAAGTCTAAGTAGTACATGCAAAATCACAAAGAGAAAGGGAGGGAGGGAAGGGTGGATTTTTCGATAAATTTCACCTGGCGACGGCCACCTGCTGAATGATATGTGATTTGTTTGTGCATGGTCCCACTTAGCGATTCATTCAGACATACAAACTTGATCGTGCCAATTCTACTCGATGTTGTCCTTCAAACATCAATTAACCAATGCTTAAAAAAAGTTGGCTTTGATTCTTTTTCTTGCTAATATTCTATGCTTAATGCAATCGAAAGCTTTTCTGTAATAAAAAATGAATACATTTACGGTGTGGGCTTGGTAGCTCAACAAGTAGAGCGGCGGACTAGTACCCAAAGGTGCGAGTTCAAATCTCGTCCGAGTCACATGTTTTTCATGTGCATATTAAAAAACCGTGTTAGGATTAATATATTATATGTATTCTGATGATGGCTTCGGAATAAAGTCAACAAACAAATTCAACATTTTAACACCAATTTCCAGTTGTAGATATTCTAATTTGTCTCTATCACACTCATAATACTTGCCATGCAAATATCACAAATATTTTATCACACTTTGTCCTTTTACTTTTATTAATTGACACATATCATGCATCCTATTATATATTAAGCATTGTAAATAATTTTACTTCTCTCTCATCCTGAAGATAACTTAATGTAAGTCGAACCATGTTTACGACAAAAAATTTTGTCGTTTATTTCAAATCCTTAACAAATCTTTTACTATAGTAATCATTCAATATAGTAAAACAGAGATTTTGTTGTGATTTTGTCTAACTGAAGTACTCTTTTCACTTACTTTTACAGTACTTTCATCTTAAAGCAATTATTTTTTGGAACTCTTATTATTCTTGGTTAGTTTTTTCTTAGTTTTACCTTGCATTTCGTACATTTTATTTGGTTCAGTTCATTCACCATGGAAAATGCTGCGTTTAAGCCGACATTCTATATACTAAATTTGTTTGATTTCGTTTGTAAAGCTCATTGATCAATCGAATGTAAACTAAAAAATGAAGGTGGAACATAAGTGAGACGTGAAATACTGTTAAAAGGGAACTTAAAACTTTGTCTGTCCCGTGAAAGTAAATATGCGGTAATTTTTTTGTTTGTTTGATTCAATATTTTCACAAAAAATGAGTTGAAATGCTGCAGCTAGGGCATCCGGTGCGTGGGAGCAGAAACATGTCAGCGGCTTGTATTTGACGTCATATCGTCAGTTGCTGCTGAAAGCATTACGTAAAGTCATGTCACAGTCATAACAAACTTGCGTCAAAATGCTTCTCCTAATCACAAAATGTTTCTTTTTTGAAACTTCAGAATTTTTTATTCATAGGTATATACACAAGCAACTTTTAGAGCTTACATGCAAGTATTGAGCTGGTTATTTGTATTCTGTTTTAATAGAACTGTTTCACATGCATAAAGGCCATTGTCGCACAGTTTCCGCACTACATATAGAATTTAAATATCGATTAATATTATTTTTTAAAAAATACGAAGGTTTATTTGTGTGGAAACTGTGCTGTAATGCCGTTTGCTTCGTTTGCTTGTCCTCCGAATTCAACCTTAACAACAGTTTCTACTGATGTGAAACCAGTCTATTGCCATGAATAACATTGAATAATAATAAAACATGGTTGTGTAATTTAGATTTATTATGGTTAGAAAATAATCCTACATAAAACCATTGTAAAATTAGCCTTTCGTGCATAGAATTTAGGTTCCTAGATAATTTGTACGTAATTCCCTTTTTTAAGTCACATTTGGGGCAAAAATTGCAAGTGCTATGAAAAACAAACACCCTCATATTGATCACCAATATGATGTGTGGCATTTTCTAAATCTGTCACAAAAAAACTAACAAAGAAGCCTAACATTAAGGGAAATGATGACTTGACCCATTGGATTAAGTCCATTTCTAATCATCTTTGTGGTGCTCTGCAAGTTTTAACAAGAATGCAGAAGAATTGGTGGAAAAATGGAAGTCTATCCTTAACCAACAACAAGCATTTCTGGAGAGGGAACACATATTTTCACCAATGTGGCTACCAACAATTAACAGAGGCTTCTAAAAGACCTGTGGAAGCTATCTGAGTTTTGAAACACAGGAGAGTTGGAGATTTACCATTCCCTTTTACTGAAATATTGCCCAAAGCGAGAGCATTTTTCATTTCCTGGAATGGTAGCACGCACTCAGTTAGCAGCATTAGATCACAACAACAATGTTAACCATGATAAAGCAGTCATTAAGTCAGGGACAAAAAAGGGCAAGACCGTTACAAAATGATTTTTGCTAAAACAAAGAAACAATGGGTTGTAAAAGCAATGAAAGAAAAGAAAGAATACCAGTACGTTGATATACTACTTGCCGAGGTTGAGAATGCATGCAAAACTGAGGAGATTGAACTTGTACATCATGGCGAGAATCTTCCAAAGAACATTTCTAAATCATGTCCACCCAGGAAAGAAGTACTTGTAAAGGAACATCAGTCAGTGGTGAAGTTAGCTATGGCAATAGGTTTTGCCATGCCCATATAATATGATGTTGAATCAGTGAAGACAACTTTTGTACATTCATTCTTAAATAATAACATAGCAAATTAAGCATAGTGGAAGCCTTCAAATTGAAATTCCTCTGCAGGGCAAGGTGGAGGAAATAATTCTCCAATGCCAGTCACTGCACATGACGGCAAGACGACTCTTACTTCTCTACCCAAGATACCCCAGCACCATCTTGTCAACTGTCTATATGCAATATGGCGGTACAGTTTGTCTTCGGGCCCATCATATGCTACCTCATATTGCTGCTTGTACTGGTACCAAGCTGTTTTGTAAAACCCACCTGTTAAGAAGAACAGGCTGAGAACCAGGATGTTGTGTAATGCACAAAGGGACTTCAGTGGTCTCATTCGTCTCTGCTGCCTCTACATTTTTGCCACAAATATTGGAAATCTCTTTGCAGCATGAACATTCCTCGTTATTGTCCATTACTTGGCAGTTACCACATTGACAACTGAATATGTTAAAAGAAAGTATCTTGAAAAGTAAATGTCAAAATTTCAATAAAGATTATATCTTACAATAAAAACTTTAAAATCTGAAGTATTATGTGTGTGTGGACGTGGTCAACTTCAAAAACTGAAAACGTTCTTTTGAGATCGAAACAATGGTCTAGAATAATATAATATTTTATTACTCACCATTCAAGATTGTCGCGCAGAGGTTCATCATCAATATACAAAAATTCCTGTTCTTCGTTGTCCTCAAACTGGTGAGCTTCTTTGTGTTCATCAGCCGGCCATTCGAGCTCAAACTGATATGGCCGAATATTGTTTGCTGGATTGTCTTCCATTTCACTATCGATTGGTGAATTAGGTCGAGGTTCTTCCAAACAAGCTATTATAAGCGATTGTTTTGTTTTTTGTGCTAGGCTGTGCGTTATTATTTTACTTTGTTGTAAACACAACTCCAAATCGTTTTGACGATATGACGTCAAAATTATTTCCGCTGACGCTTTCTGTGCCCACGCTGCTAAACCTCAAAACAGCTCAAATAGCGCACTTGAAGACGCGATCTTGTCAAAAATAAAATAGCTGATGTAAAAATTTCAAAATATAGTAACCTTTGCATAAAAATGGAACTTTTAAGACCAACATTATGCGAGGGTGGAGTTCCCCTTTAAATATTAAAAATCTTTATTTTTATCAAATTCGGAAAAGTGCCTAATCTGCCGTTTTCGGACGACGCTTTGTCCAACAAATTCGTTGCTGACTTTTAGAAGTTTAAGGCCAACAATTCTGTCTTTGTGTATATTAAGAATTGGAAGGCTGTTAAACCATTTTTTGGACATTGATGGTCTAAGACATTATTTGTTGTGGCAGAAAATGACCTTTCTCCGGTTGCACATGTTGCAAGATTCGCGTTGAGTATTTGGCAAATTACAACAACTTCGTTATTATTTAGTCTTTTATTCAACAGATAATCTCTGTATTTATTACAAGACATCGTAGAAACAAACTTCTTCTAAATCCTTGAGAATAACTCTAAATATTGGCAGCTGTGCCTTTAGAAAAAGTGTTTTAACATCATCTTTATAATTGGATGAATGAACAAAAAAGAAATTTACTTTTAAAATTAAAAATATAATTTTGAAACCTGACCACACTAAAAACGGCAAAAATCTTGACACTGGATTCTATGAGAGGAGAATTAGCTTGTTTATGTAAGGCCTGTTGAATCAAAACTAAAATAAGATAAAAACATATAATAATGTAATATTTAAATAGGCTATCTAATAAGGAAATTTTGATCTGTTCCCTTATTAGCTATTTTAGTGGACATGTTAGGTTTCATTTTTATAGATGAGTTCTTTAATTATATATCATCATCCATCATCATGCAGTCAGTCGTAAGCGACGAGGACTGTTCTATGGTTGGATTGAAGCTCTCCAGGCCGGTCTGTTATCAGCCAATTGCTTCCAGGTTGTCACGTTGATGTCTCTCCTCTTTAGATTTCGTTTCATGACATCTTTGAGTCTGAGTCGAGGTCGGCCTTGGTTTCGTTTCCCTTCTACTAGTTGGCTGTACAATAGCTGGCGTGGTAAACGAGATCTCTCCATACGATGGACATGACCAATCCATCTTAAATTCTTTTGAATCAGCATGTCAGCCATGTGTGGCAGGTCAGTCAGACGGAGAATCTTAGCATTTGCGATCTTGTCCCGCCATGATATCTTCAGAATGTCCCGCAGTTGTCTCATCATATACGCACTCAGTTTCTTCACTTGAAGCCTGTAGATTGTCCATGCCTCTGCTCCATAAAGGAGTGTTGTCAGCACCACCGCCTGATAGACCTTGGCTTTAACTCTGGTCGAGACATGCTTATTTTGCCATAGCCGATCGTTTAGTTGACTGAACGCTGCACTCGCCCTTCCCATTCTGTTCCTCAGCTCCTTTTCAATCTTAGCATTGCTGGAGATTGTACTACCCAGGTAGTTGAAGTCTGTGGTCTGGACAAGAGGCTGTCCGTCAATGGTGATTGCACAGGGTTTTGGGGGAGGGAGTAGAAGCTTTACTGGCTGGTAGAGGCACTCAGTCTTTTTGATGTTTATCTTGAGGCTAAACATAGCGGCAGCTTGTGCAAATTTGTCCACCAATGCCTGCATCTCTGCTGCACTGTGAGCAACCAGAGCACAGTCGTCTGCAAAAAGCATATCTCTGACAAGCTGACGTGTTGTGCGTGTCTTAGCTTTGAAGTGTGAGGCGTTGAATAGGTTCCCATCATGTCTATTCTGGATGTAGATACCTTCCCTTGTGTCCTCGAAGGCAACCTCCAGCATGGCAGCCAGGTAGAATGAGAACAGTGTCGGAGCCAGCACACACCCTTGCTTTACACCTGTTGAGACAGCGAATCCCTCAGAGCAGTCGCTCCCACGAGTGACTTTAGCTTGCATTCCTTCGTGAAACGCTTTCACGAGATTGATAATCTTATCAGTACAGCCAAACTTTTTCAGTACTGCCCACAAGCCGCCTCTAGGGACAGTGTCAAAGGCCTTAGTAAAGTCTATGAAAACTGCATAGAGGGGCATGTTCTGTTCAGTGCATTTCTCCTGAACCTGTCGTAGGCTGAATATCATATCCATGGTACTCCGCCCACTCCGAAATCCACTCTGGGTCTCAGGAATTACTCTGGGACTTATCATTTCGTTCAGACGATTGAGGAGTATTCGAGCCATCACCTTCCCAGCGATTGAGAGTAGAAAAATGCCGCGATAGTTGCCCCACTCTTTACGACTGCCTTTCTTGAACATAGATGAAATGCCATCTTAAATTCAATTCTGCAGTTTTGTCTAAAGTAGTTGTTAATTGTACTAAAATTTAAATTATTCAAAGATAAGAAATTTTTCTGAAACTATTGCCATACAATGTATTAGAAGCATATTGAAGTAAGTAGCCAAAGACCTGCTATGAATATTTTAGAATTTAAATAACTTTTTGCACTTAGTAGTATCAATATAATATCTTAATGCTCTGTAAGCAACTTGTCATGGTATAAATAGACTTTTAATGTGATGAGAGACGTATATATTGTCTACCTTTACTGTATAAGTCCCTTGAAACATAGAAACGTAGAGGACTGGAGAAGAAACTTCTTTTTGGCTGTGCTTTAAATAATGAAAATGCTCTAAGCTTGCTATTTTTTCATTTCTTTCTCGTGATCTTTTTTTCTTCCATTAACGCTAAATCGAAATACCTCTAGTTAGATAATAAATCTTTGGAAAATCAATTTAAGCTGGAATGAAAAAAGGAAATTATCAACCTTTGAGTTGAAATAGATGTCCTTATTCTATAGTAACATTACGTCAACACTCAAAAATCTTTCCGGTGATAAATATTTTCCGTTATCAAAAAATGTAAAGTTATGGATGAACCCACTTTTGGTTTGCCATCAGCGTATTTCAATAAAATTTCAAAGTAGAGACAACACATTTTTAATGTGTTTGTGCCTTTCTGCCTTTCTTTCTATGTTTCTATTTAATGTGCAGGTTTTATCAAATTTTAAAAGGCTTCTTAATCAGGGCTCGGAAGTCCAAATTGCAAAGAAAGATTTAAACTGCAAAAGGCTTTAGACTGCATGAAAAATGGCAAATAAGTTTAAGTTGACGGTAAAATATGTCATGATAAATGGGTAATCTTAAAATCGCCAAATATTTATATTTTTGTGCTGTTTAGCATTTACTTTAGTTCAGTCAACTTTTCTATTCCTCCTTATGAAAACAACACTTCAATATAACCTGCAACATACGTATCACATATTTTTTTCATTGTAAAATCAACAGTTCCTTATTTTGGACTCAAACTCTTTGAATAAATTTTACGTGTGCATGCAACGTTTCACTTAAATTCTCATTTGGCGTAAAGGATGAAGTTTGCTTATGTAGCGCCTAACCCTTTTTTTCTACAGGCACACTGCATGCTCCTTGCTCATTGTACGCCGATTTTAATTACAAAAAGACATAGAATGCAAACACAGATTTCCACAATGCGCAATTCTCTACGGTTGCCATTTACAACATGCCTGTCTGTGACTTCTACCTCTGGTAGACAACAAAAAATAGCAAATTTAAATAACCAAACAATTCATCAAACAAACAGAAACTACCGAAAAAATAGGCACATGTAATAAATGTACATAACTGATATATTTCTTACATAACTGATTGCAATTTAGGTAAAACTTGTTATCATTCGTCAACTTTTACGATGAATATATGATAAAATAGAAAATTTTATATTTCAAGGCTATATACTAAAAATGGCTTTATCAAAAGAACTTCTTCGGGTAAAACATGTTGCAAGATTGTGTGGTACACAAATGACAAAGTAGAGAAAAAGTAAATGTTACATGACACTGGTAACCAATAAGATATTCTTTATTTTCTGTATTATTCTTTATTATTAGTATTTCGTCATAGAATTTTGGCGTTTGAATACTTTTAGGGTGTTTGGCATGTATTTTGTAATTGTTTTCTCGCTTCTCAGTTTTATTCAATGTTTGTCCAGTCTGTTTCATTCTTTGCTTAAAAACAAAAAATTTACTAAGCATAAAATCTCTTGAAAATGTGGATATCTTCCATCAAGCAAAACAGCCAAAATTCACCTAAGTCTAAATATGAAATAAGTTTATCTAAAAAGTAGTGTAACATTTTTTCAGTAGTTTTCAGCAAAATATGAAGAAAAGTTAAGAATAGAGTTACGCTGAAATAGTATGTAGTGCCAACAATTTGCAGTAGTACAAAAATATCTCAATCTCTTTGCTAATAGTGGGGGAAAAGGTTTTCCTGGTGCTAGTATTTTTTTTGATTCCTCTTTGTGTTTCTGTAAATGAAGTAAACAGTGTAATAGTGAACAGATTAATATATCAAAACCAAGATAAAATAACTGCTTAGTACAATAATGAGACAAGATTTGCTTTTACTGTGAAAGTTTTGTTCAAGATAAGCTTGTGACTAGGAGCATGTAAAGTTTAATTCACTACAGTCTCATTTCACAAAAATCCATAATTGTTATGATTTCAGGTGACTAAGGATTCACATGTCTTATTTGCACTGAAGAATTAGGAAGAAGAAGCTGAAAAGGATGTAGAAGAACAAAACGAATATTGAGGGGGCGAGGGATTTGTTGAAATTCTATGTAAAGTTTTGGTAGTGGTGACATATATGAAAGAGAACCAGTATTTTTTATATTTATCAGGTAGCCCCTTGTTAAAATTTTGTAATACACCTCTGAGAAGAAATTCTGTGTGTCTGATAAAGAAGAATTTGAAATAAATGAAATGAAATAGTAAAATAAATTTAAAAATTGAAATCAAAAACAGTCAAGTTGGAAATTGAAATAAAAAAAGTCCATTGCGAAGAGTAAAGTTGAAGATGGAAAAGCAGGTGGTTCTGCCAAACATTTTAATTCTCTTTGCACAAGTTTTTAGCTATTTTGTTCAAATTTATTCTTAACACATAACACAATGCCAAAATATTACAAGAATTACACAATAATCCTTACACATTTTGCTGCATACTTCCATTAGCACTCTACTACTATTTGAATATTTTATTTCCATTCAGAAAAAATCAGTATTATGTTAGAGACACTAATGCACTTCAAATTCATAAGTTGTAAGTTCATAAAAATATATAGTTCTCAGTAGTTGCTTAAGGGTTATGCCGAATAGTTTCGTAAAAGCTCACCAAGATTTAACTAGTAGTTTACAGGCCAAGATTTTTTCGCACATTTCTCTAAGATTCGATAAAGAGAATTGTACATTGCTGTTCATGAAAAATACATCGTGTGCGAGTGATTATTTTTAAGTAAACCTGAACACATTCACAGTCACACAAAAAAAATACCGCGTGTGGAGTTATTTTGAATTTAAATTGTTATTTAAATATAACAGAAGTTTCTTTACCGTAAAATTTTTTATATTCTAGATTGTGAATTGGATAAAACCCTGAAGCATGTCTTTCAATCTAAAACGTTATTCGTAGTTTTTTTCTCTGATTTTCAGGGGAGTGAATAATGAAAATGATTTTCGAGTAGAAGATTTTACATCCTTGGCATCCTTGTGGCATCCTTGTTTTGATAGCCGGTTCCAGACCCCCCTTTCTCCTCCAGGTAATTTAATAGAACTCAATAGTTACATCTAGCAATGAACTTTTTTTAAATGCACGATTTTTACCAGTGAAACAACTGTTGGTAAATGTCTTTCAAAACGAGTTCACTATGACCAAGAAATATTTCTATTGTAGGAGTAAAAAGTGGACTGAATTTGGTATTGGTTAGCTCTGGCATAAAACGTTCTGCTACTTTGAAAACAAAATAAGAACAAAATTTTTTGCTTAGTCCGGAAGCGCTTCTTGTTTTGTGGAATTTTACCTATGAGTCCAATATTTGAAGACACTTGGAAAAAGCTCTCTAAAACAAGATATACGTTGAATAAGCAAAAACATTTACTTGTTCTAAGTACTTTAACGTTTTTTGGTACAGATGGTAATGAAATTTGAGTAAATGACTATTTTTTTATTTGTGAAAGAATCGTTGTTAATAGTCCGTTACAACAGGTCTTGCGCACAAAATATAAATATCTGAAAAACAATTTGATCGTCCTGAAAATATGTACTGTGTTGTAAAAGCTATCAAATTTCAAGCCACTTGGGGCAAGTGCTGGCCAACGCTAGGTCTTTAAAACTTGGAATTTTTTGCGTTTATGCTTTTAAAACCAATTATATTACTTCATTTCAAATGAATTTTATGCATTTTGGAAATTTGTGTTAGTTACTATGCCAAATAAGCAAGCCAATTCCCAAAGGTTTAAATATAGTAATAAAACTTAGTTTTTAAAAGCATAAACGCAGAAAAATCCAATTTTTAAAGATCAGTTGTTTGCCATAGTTTGCCCCAAATTGCTTGAAATTTGGTAGCTTTTACAACACTGTCCATATTTTGACTGAAAGTGATTAAATTGTTTTTTCGACTAGAATTTTTTGTGCGCAAGGTTTTGAAGGACTTTTAACATTGTTTATTTTCGTCACAGGTAAAAATCTTTCATTTTGTGGGTAGCCACTGTGCATGCGCATGCTATACTGAAAAAGTGTCCATCGGTTTGTTTGTTTGTCCTTATCCTCAGAAATAGTCGGAAGTACGAGCTATGACAAAGAGGGCCCAACCCAGTCTCTTCCTTAAATTAACTCTATACGCTAATTGTGAAAATATCCTCAAATTGACTCTATAAGTCAATTTGAAACGTCCATTCAAACAATAGGCCTGGTGACATGAGTTGCTCCTTTGCCAGTTGCCGAAATGAAAAAACCAAAAAACTTAGCGCGCGCCATTTTGTTTTGTAATAGGAGCGAAGACATTCTACAGATGCAAAACTTTTGTGCTGTCCAGACCACTGCGTCTATACATAGTTTTTTATATTTTTATACACATGTGACTGTGCTTTTAACACTTCAATGTACTCTTTTTATAATTGTGTCATATTTTACAAAAAAAATAGAAAAGGAAACAGCTTTATGTCATAAAATCATTTCATTTTCATTTTAGATCTTGATGCTATTCTTGAAAGCTGTCAGTCGGTTATTGGAGAAGTTGATACTGGGCCATTTGCTTGGCAAAAAAGAATGAAAAAAAAAAGAAGAAAATTGGTAAAGTATGAGGGAAAAAATATTCAATGTCACTGTATCATCATTTGCTCCTCCTTTATCTGCTATGAAGTGTTGTAGATGCAATGAAAATGAAGCTGTACTGATATGCAGACAATGTGGTGTGTTGAGGTATATTTGTCGAGAATGCGATGATGATGTCGATGAGAACAATCCTCTACATGATCGAGAAGTGTGGTTGTATGGTTATTTTCAATATATCAAGCCAACACAATCCATTTCATCTGATGGAAAGATTTGCAGCATTGGTAAGTATAATGTACATACTATTGAATTTTTTATAAATATTTTTTTTGTTGTGCCCGATGTGAGAGAAATGTTTTTCTGTGATGATGCTGTTGTCTTTGTAGATCGATCATGTTCCATCCTTTACCCATCATCATGTAAGTTGTGTAATGAACCTATCATCAAAACTACCAACAGCTCTCTTGTGATTATGATCACTTGTGAAGGTGAAAGTGTCCTTATGCAATTTTTTTACTGAGTCCAAATAGCAATTTTTGTTATATGGATGTACATATGATGCATCTTATTAAAATCGGATTTGTTAAGGGCTCAATATGTTAGTCGAATTTAGAAAAGTACATAGGCAGCAGGTTGGATTGTACACTAATTCATAAACTTTAGATTGAAACTAAAAACTTTAGATTGAAACTAATAACTTCAAATCATTGATGAAGTTGCTGGCTTCTTATTAAACACCAGGATTTGATTTCTTTGAAGCGCATATGTTCAGCACTGTACTGATTATTTTTGATTATATTTTGTCTTCAACAGGACGATTTGATCTTCATTGGTTCACTGTACATTGCTCATCTTGTCAATGGAAGTGGTCACCAATTTCTGTTGACAGTATAATTGAAAGTGGCTGGTGGCCTGGTAACCCTGACAATTTTCATTACATATTAATCAAGATGTCTTTAATTTGTGGGATGCATTTACAAAGAGGATGCCTGGGTCATCACAATCTGCTTTTGTAAGAAGTTTGGTAGATATTTCCAGCTCTAGAGGAAGGGTGATTAATTTTTATGCTATCTACATATCTTTGTTAGTGTGCTTTTTACTTTGTGTATATTTTTTGTCTTGCCATCCAAAAGCTACAAGACGTAAATCTTGGTTTCAAAATAATCCTTTATGATCATTTCTTTTTATGAATTTTGGTAAATTCTGGAAAGTCAAGGAAAATTTGTTTAAAATTTGTGTATGTTTGAAGTATGAGAACTATATTATAGTACAGTTAGGTTTTGCATAATCAACAAATGGTATATAATTGTGCTATGTGCTGACGTGGAACTGGTTTCACTAGGAAAATGTTATCAATCCAGTCACATTCAGAAAATCATTTGCTGAATGGAGCTATTGCCAACATTAAATTCACCTTCTTCATGAGCAGACATGGAAAAATTTCCCTCCTTGTAGTATTGATCAACATTTATGTCATGTTGATGGAAATCAAAAAGTGTACAGATTAAACTATATAGAGATATAACTAAAAGATATAACTATATAGATATAACTAGAAGTGTACCAAGGTTTGTGATATGGGATGGCGAATTCTCAAACTTGCAAAAAGGGAATTACCCTTTGTAAACAATTCAGATACTTTTATGTTTTAAAAAATTGAACCAATTTTAACAAATCCAAGAAAAAGACCTACTGCTCATGTTTGATTCTTTACCTGCATTGTTGGGTTTATGAGTGCTTGTGTACTAAATTGATACTTTACTTTTACCACAAACAATAGTTTTGTGGACTCTCATTTAAAAAGTCTTGGTTCAAAGTCAATTCAGGTAATGTGTTATGAAGTAGGATTGAAAGGTAGTAATCTATTATTAGGTTAAAGCATTCTTTATAGAATGAAGATAATTCTTGTGGTGACACCCATTGGAAAGCTGCAAAAATGGTCTCCAAATCAAAGAAAAACCAAGATGAGACTGGACTTGAAGTTGCTGGATGCAGGCACTTGATTGCTCAAGCTACTTTGAACATGTTCAGAGGTGAAATTTATGGCTGTGCTCACTACTTGCATATGAATTTTTTACAACCACATAAAGTTAAATATATGTGGGAAGATATTATATGCAAATATTGGCCTTGGGCTTTACGTGTTACATCGGAAGAAAATCAAAATGCTTTAAGAAATATTGCACCAGCACTGTCTATAATGCATGGGAAATCACACAGTTGGTCATGTCAGGTACGTTACATACGTAGGTTATGATTGTTTACTCAATAACTCGTAAGCTAAATACCACATACCCCGACGATAATGCTCTATTAAAGATGTTATGAGACAAAGCGTGCTTTTTAAAACTGTAATAATACTGTATTTCACGTAACTAAACCGTGGTTACATAAATCTGAAATGGGTTGTCTTGAATGGATGATTCTTTTCGCACTTTTTAGGTTATTTGGAGCGGAAGATGGCAAAGTGGTGCGGCAGCAACTTCTGGCGAAGAAGTTGAGCAAATAAATTCGTATTTATCAAGACTTGGCTCGACTACTAAAAATATGACGGCCTCCGGTGAGTATTATTTTCTGATCTGCATATCCACTCAGGTTTTTTGGTCGATAAAGTCCACGAACTAATGTGCACATTATTGGTTGTACGTATTAAGGACGAGAAGAACATCTGAACATCTTCTGAGTTGAAACAAGCGAAAAATTTTAAACTTGGCAAAATCACTTGTTATTCGAATGAAAAAGGTTACACGTTGTATATGTCTTCAGTTAATTGTCAAAATTATACTAGTGTGAGTCCATGAATCTAATGTGTGCTACTTACGTGTATAATATGAAATGAATTTACAGTTCATAGTTGTGTATAGGTCTTGTTTGAACCCAATACGTTTACTGCGCTAATATGAATATTTTTCACTGTTTTTCATTATGTGTACTTGTATTTCGAAGACCGAAAGGAAACTTTCATCTGCCAGGGACGATTTTGTAAAGTTAAGAAGCGAACTTAATGTCCAGGATTCAGACTTGGACGACTCGATAATGCAGTGGAAAGAAGTTCAACAATTTTCGAGAGGTAACATTGTTTACTTTCAAATATTTTTAGAAACAAGGTTTAGTATTGAACAGTTCTGTACTTATGGCTGATTTTTGTTCAAACATCATTTAAAACGAAACTATATGAAATAATTCTTGGCCTGGCTCAAATTTTTATGTTTGGCAATTGTTATTTTTAAAAATTCATTTTAACCACCGTAAAATATATAGCTAAACAGTATTGTATGGAGTGCTTAGTAATTACGTAGATAAATTAATATTTCTTATTGTTTGTCTAGAACAACAAATTGGAGTTTCTTCGTTGAAAGGTGTCGCCGAAGAGTTCTTCCTTTTGCATCAAACTGTTGAAAATGCTCAACATTTGGAGAATTTTGTAAGAGCCAACGATGATCAAACGCAGACATTATTGGGTGATAGGCGTTTCGTTCATGACGCTCAAAACAAAGTGAAACAACTTCAACGAAATGCATCAAGATTGCTGGAATAAAAAAAACAGCTTTTAGATAGACATGTGACAGAGGAGCAGCTTCATGAGCAAGGAAAGTCGCAGCTGGCAATAATCTCAGTAGCAAAGCTGCAGAAGAGATTAGAAATGTTGTATTTTTCAGTCACTAGACGCACAAAAGAACTAACTTCTCTTGTTGGTGAGTTTTGTTGGTTTTTTTCAATGCAAAATCTAACTCACTTAGATGATTACTCATGAGTAACTGTAAGCATTATTTTAAAGTTCGTTGCAAAATCTAAGTGAGTTAGATTTTAGATGTAGGCAGGGGCGGATCTAGAGTATGTCAAATCCGTCGCGCGACTGATGTTTGAAATTCAAAAATTACCTAATCATATTAATTAAAAATTCATTAATTATTCTTACTTTATTATCGCATTTACTTCGTGATAAAAATCCAGCTTTATTTATTATTGAAAACTAATGACTAATCCAATGAATATCTCCTTGGTAACCAGATCAGTTGAATTTTAATTGACCTGGAATAACCGACTGATAAGCGGGGTGGCTTGACTGGTTCGACTTATAAAGGAGTCTATGAACGCCAGAAACGCTATTTTGTTTGTCAATGGCCAGATCAGTGGACAGTCTGGAATAAGCTCGACCGATAATAGGGGTGGCCGGACCTATAAGTGAGTCCAATTGCTATCCTACAATTGGTTCATTTGAATTTTTGTCTTACTGTGATTGGTTTGACCGATTTCGACTGATAGCCAACTGAACTAACATAGTCAAGCTCAATGTCTGAATTGAATGTTTGATCGTTCATAGTAATTTCTGAAGCATGATAGAAACTAAACTACAATCAGATGGAATTTATGGAAATCTTTTACAAATTCATATGTTGACATGAATGCTGCTTTCCAAACTGGGAATTTTTTCAAGAGGGTGAAAAGTTTATGGATGAATTGTAAATGCTTGGCAAAGACGATCTCGTGAGCGACATTTCAGTCATTGATGTTCAAAAGAAGCCAACATTGTTTTGAGTTTTATCAGCAGAAATTTACATCGAAAATCGTAAGTAAAGGACAAGTGAAGTGTATGCATGAATGCAATATATCAAAGTCAATTTATGCGAGTGTGTGATGCGATTTATGTTAATATGGCGTATGGTAAGCAGATTGATGCTTCTAAAATTGTTGTTGCCGAAGGACTTTTATCTATGATTTCTTTAATGCTTGGGGAATCGTGGCCGTTATATGCCAGCGAAATCCTACATTTCTGCAAATATATTTCAATGGACAAAAAATCTGTAGCCATAAGGTGCCATACTATTATTTACTTTATCATAAACAAATGTTTGGGGCTTTTCAGTTTATGATCATTGATCATTCAATCATTGGACAGTTATACTACATATTGTTTAAGATTTGAGAAAACTAACATTGATTACATGAGAAGCTGTTTACTATAACCTGTGATTTTGAGTCTTATGATCCATGAAGCTTTTTATTTTGACAATTTGACTGGAATGGTATTAAACCTGAGTATTTCACATACATGAAATGTTGTCCCATGTCATATATTGTCCCCTTTTCTAACTGAACACCTCATGTAGAGATGTAATGGTGTGTTAATCTATGGCTCATACCAGATTGTTTGCCATAAATTCCAAAGGGCTATTGATGTATGAAAAGCATTTTCTATAAAGTAAAAATGTCTTCCTATGTATGCAGATAAACCTTGAAATTTGGCAAAACAGCAAAGTATTTTTCATGATCACTAGGTAATTTTTCTGATGATCAATATAATTTCTAAACTAAATTATTTTAGATTTAAATTTAAACAAGCTTTGATCATATGAAAAGATATTTATCATAACCAGTAAGCATGACACATAAACCATTTTTAACATTCGTGTAATTATATAATTAAAAACATGTTGGTTACATTCTGTTTGTATTTGATAATACAATGCTACTAGTGATTGCTATATAGCACACCTTGAAGAAGGTAATAGTCCAGTGAAATGGCTAATAAACATTTATGGCATTAAGCTAACCTTAACTGCAAATTTTCACTCTGATAATTTTTGCTTAATCTTTGGCAGAAAAAAATTTTGAGTTTTTCTCAAAGGGTGAATTTGCTGGCACTGATGTGGAGATGGGTAAAGAGTTACAATAAACTTGCATTGTTTGAAGTCTGAGCTTTTCTATATCTATGAACTGTCACTTGTAGTACCAAATTTCTAACTTAACTTATTACATAGAAGTTTGAATGGGGGTCTCTAGGGGGGTCTATGCCTGACAACTTGGTAAAAATTTTAAAGAATATATCTGTTTTTGAATAGCATTATTGTAAAATAAATTTATGTTCCTAGACATGCTAATGAGCCATATATTTGGCATGCTAATGAGCCTAAATATTTGGCAAAACATTCAAGTATTGTTCACTTTATTTTTTTTTTGAAAAAAAACGTAAGAAAAATGTGTTGTTTTTACGCAAAAACGATGCCCACAAAATACATTTTGTATTGCTCTAAAACGCTGAAAATGGCATTTTCAAGACTCTGAAATTCAAAATTTCTCAGGTGAGAATGCCTCAGACCCCCCCAGGTGCGGAGCGCCTCCGACGTTTTATGACGGATGTTTGAAAAATCCTAGATCCGCCCCTGGATGTAGGCGAAACAAAATGCAAAATATGGAAGAGTTTTATTTGAGATAAATTGTGCTTTATCTAAAAGTAAACGGGTAAATACCATCTACAACATCCTCGTAGAAATATGTAGACTTATATTTATGGGCCACCCTACATTTATTTTGTGCCAAATTATTTCAAAGCATTTTGCCAAATTGCTGTAAAATTGCGATTTGTCGTTGTTACGTATATTATACATGTACGTACTGTAGATTCTAGCAAACGAAGATCTTCCATGAGAAAGAAATGCGCTAAAGAGAAGTCCGAAATAAAATCCACCGTAGAAGAGTTAAATTGCCTCTCAAGTCTGTGTGGTCTTCCTATGATAAGTGCGGAAGAAGTCATGTCTGGAGATTTTGCTTGGTCGTTTAAACAGTGTGACATAGAAAGTACGACTTCACATGGTGTGTAAAAGAATAGCAAATATTGTTTTATGTATATTGGGACGTCCATGCTCGCTTTTATTTTCAACTATTTTACTTAACAATATTTGGATATACCTGTGCATTTCAAGGCACAAATTGTCGATAAGTCCATGTTAGTTAAAAGATTGGAAGAGGAAAAAGCACTTCTGAACATGGAGATGAAAAATTATATGATTTATTATTTGGAAAACGTTTTGCCTCTCCTTTGTGAAAGAAAAGAGAAGATTAAAGATAGGATAGGTATACAGATAAATGTTCGTATTAAGTTAAAACAAGCTTGAAGGTTGCGTATTTATATACAGTGGAATGTAATGTACATGCGTTTAACATATTTTGCAATTATTGTTTTAGTATTTACAAATAATGTTGATGAATCTGATGACTATTCGTTCCTTGAAACAGAGGTCAGATAAGTAGTGAAAATGACACCAATCTTTTAAAATACGAACATACTTATTGACATCATTACGTTTGTTTTCTAGAGCTTTCTTCTAGATGAATATAAACATCGCTATTGTGTGCGAAAAGACACAATGAAGACTCTGCTTGGTCGTTTCGCCATCACAAACAGCGGAATTGCATTTGCCAGAGTGCAGTTGAAAAAAGGTTTTCAATACTTTCACGACTTAGAACAGTCCATAGTCAACGTATACGGTAGTGACAGTGAATCAGACTGTAGCGGTGAAGATGACGTTCATGAAGATGTTGAAGAAAAAGATGCATATAATTCGTTGTATTTTGTTGCTGAAAGCTGTGCTATCATTATTTTTGTGTGCACTTTTTATAATTAGAAAATTATTCGCATGTTTCTCTTTTTGTAAATAAAATGTATGCACATGCACTTGAAAGTATATATATCTAAGAAGATACACGCATTTGTAGTTGTTCAGTGCAAACGGCCTATTTTGCAACAATCTATGATCTACAAATTGTCCTTTTTTGCAACACAAATTGTCTTTTTCTTGGATATTTAGATTTCTGATTCCTCTGTGATAGATTTATTGATTTAACTGTCGCTCATTCTCACTCATGTAACCCAAAAAGCTATGAATGGCTACCAGCCACTAGCTGGTATACTGGTTCAATTCCAGTACATACTTCTCAAGAAAATGGTTACTACGTACATATCTATATCTCAGACACCTGGATGTAATGAAGCCATTCACCTTTTGCAGCTGTTATAAGTTGTTTGTTAACAAAAGTGATTGAAAACATGTTTCATAAAGATTGTAGACATTTCTGTTTTAAATTTGGTTAATAAATTGTGCAATTAGTACTTTGACTCTATGAAAGCAGCCTTAACCGGTTTTTCTACGATGAATGGTAAGTAATACGTCACCAATTGCTTTATAGAACGTCAAGGTATGATGTGGGAATGCCGTATGCAGAAAAAGTCGTTTGATGTATGTTATAAACTGTATAATAAACACAATATTCTTGCTATACGTTATAATATAACTTTTGTGTTTACATTGTTTCTTCTTTTGTGTAACATACCGTCTATATAATAGCGGACAGTAAAAAATTAGGACGTCGTTGTGACGTTAGTGAAAACACATACTGTTTACAGCCTATGCATTGTGTATATAGTGTATATAGTGTATGCAGCGTATCTAGTGTGTTTCTTCAATATAGTGTGTATAACGTGCCTAGCCTACATAGTGTATATAGTTTGTATTGTGTATATAGTGTATATGGCTTGTATAGCCTATATAGTGTATATAATGTATATTACCTATGTAGTGTATATAGTGTATATACACAGTAAAAACAGATTGGTCAAAATGACCAATTTTTTTTGGTCACAACCAATTTTTAAATTGGTCAAACCTTTTTGACCATTAAAATATTGGTAATTTTAACCAAAAAAAAATTGGTAGCGGCACGTGCCTGACAGCCTGTTGCCGTTGTATGTAGTCGCAGGCGTGTTTCTAAACTTCTTGTGCTTTGTTGAAGTGCATTTTAAGTGTTTAAACTCTTCTATTGTGGGCAAAATGGAAATCAACAAACAATCATCTGTCGCTGACATTATTCCTTTTTTGAAAAAGAACAAATTGGATGAAATTGTCGAAGATTTTGAAGGTATTGTCTCATCCTGAAATGTAGGTCGCATGTGTGAGGGTTGTTGTCTCGTGCATAAATCTAGTGTTGAAAATAATTCAAAATTAGATTTATGGATGACTTGCCTTGTTTACGTTTTGCTAGCAGGCAAATTTGGTCGAGCGCTTTTAGAGAATAGCAACAGCAATAACGTAATTTCATTGACGTTTTGCTTCTTATATTTTTAAAGCTAATCAAGTCGACGGCGAGGATTTTTTCAATTTAGAACCACATGATATTTATCATATGATTCCTCGAATAAAACTTCGCAAGAAATTTACTTGTATTTGGAATGACGTTACTCAAAAGGTAAATTGAAGCCTTACAGGTTTTCTACATAAAATGGTTCAAAATACTTGGTTTGTTATTGGTTTGTTGATTATATTTTTTACTGCCATGTGCTTTGATTGTGTCGTTATAAAATCACCAGAAGTAAAATTTCAGGCTTCATCTATTAACAGGGGTCATCAGCTTCAACAAGACACTCTTGTGTCACTTCGAACAACATCAGAACCATCAACAAAGATGTGAATCCAGACATTCCGAGTAATTCAGCTGATCATCAAGAAAATCATGATGAGGTATCAAGCAACCCAGCTTGACTTGTTTGTGTTGTAATTGTGTGGATCCAGATGAACCATTGCTCCTATTTTGCCTGAAATAGCTTAAAAGCATTTAGTCTGCTTACTATATATTTTTTTGTTCCTCTATGCTTTAGTTATGTTGTATTATGTTTGATGAAGAGTCACTATAAGTAGAATTTATGATTCAATCCTCTATTAACAGGGCTTGTCAGAATCAGCTTCAACAGTGCACTTGCACATCTATTCAAGCCACATAAGAACCATCAACTTGGATGTAAATGAAGACATTGTTCTTAGTACTTCAGCTGATCATCAAAATGATGAGGTATGAAGGCTGAAGCCATTATTTGTATACAATATTTGTTCTAATGCTAGTTCATAAATATACAATGTTTGATGTTTGGCTCAGTTACATAGGAAATTTTCCTGTCTCAATTATTTTGTTATATAAAATCCATAAATTAACATTCTCTTTCCATGAATGGATGTAATTCCACTTTTCATTTTTGTTACTCATTGTGGAATTACATAAATTCCACAATAAATACAGTGTTGGAGTTTTGAAAATTTTGCTGCGTTATTTCTTTACTTCTTTATGTTGTATGTTAAGGTTGAATTTTACTATTTTTTAAGAACATTGGACCAGAGAGACATCTCAAGGACAATGTTCCAAGGAGTCCCTTGACAGCTAATGTGAACAATTCCAATTGGTTGTCCAAGTTTTGTTTGCCAACAAGAGTAAGTAGCATTAAAACTTAGTTTTTTTACACACTACAAGCTTAATATATGTTAATAAAGATTGCCATATCATATTAAACCATGCTGTTTGTGTGTAGTGGGAACCAGCAGTGGAGGAGGCATTAAAAAGGCAGGAACTAAATCCAAATGAAAAAAATGCATTAAACAGGCAATTAACTTCTTCAATTTTGGCACATACTGAATCGCCAACTGTTCATGAAAGAAAACACATTGCTCTTATATTAATTCAAAAGTATCCATTCTTAAAGGGATCATTTGGTTCTAGTCATGTAGGTTAAAAAAATCAATTATATTGCTGCATAATTCAGTTTCATAAAGTACTGTCATTGTTTTGTTTTTCCAGCAACTATGAGAAAACTAAATAGCAGACCGAGTCCTTAATCTGCGAAGAAGAGCATCCCGAGCTCAAAAGCGAAAGCGGCTTGAAGAAGGGGTCCTAATTCCAAAGGGAAAACCTGGTAGGAAAAGTAAGAAATCAGCTTGCAATTCTCTCCCATCTCTTCCAGAAGGTGAAACAGAAGCAGCTATTGTAATTCAACAAAAGCAGTTGGTTGAAATGTTTAATATTGGCTCACAAGACTTGAGCAAGATCAATGTGTTGATGAACAATACCTTTGCTCATCGGCGTAGAGACATTTTGGTGAACAATACAAGGGTTTGGAAGCTTCTGCATGACTACCCTTTTTTCAAACACACCAAGGGAGTTGAAGTAAGGTTTCATTTCTTTTTCTGATTTTTGAGTTTGTTTGAAGTATCAGGCATGTTAGCCTGATGAGAGGGTAATATTCATATGTGCATGGTATACTTTACTAGATTCTAGTACTACAAACAATTTTAATTCAACAGATTATATGTAGCATATGAATTTATGAATATGAGTTTTTTGCCAATTATTAATCTGCTGCTGTCCATGAGTATGTATGCTGTATCACAATTACTTAGAGAAAGATAATTAGTTTTTTGGTTTAATTTTTTCCAGCTGAAAGCAGAGTTAGGACGTATTTTGGAGAAGAGTGATGTTGTGCAAGACATGAAGGAACAATGGAATTTGCACAAATATAAAATGCTGTCTGCTATTAAAAAGACAAAGCAAAAGAATGTCAGCAGTATCCATGAAGAGCTGGAGGATTGTCCAGTTGAAGATGAGAAAGGTTGGTGTAAAAATCAATAAGTTAAAATCCCTATTTATACTGAAGTGTTAATGCTTTAGAGAGTGATAATGGTAATATATTCATTCTATGCTATGTTGATTATTTTAGAGGTCAAGAACCTGTGTATAATGGCATGTTTGTCTTATGTGTTAGATGACCAACACACCCATCGAGATATGAACAAAAAGCTATTTTGGGACATTGTTGATGTAAGAGTTGATATTGTCACAAATAATATTTTCTGCATAAATGTGTGAAAAAATTGATGAATAATTTTGTCTCTGTTGAAGGGTAAAAGCTTGGGGGAAGTTCAAGAAATCATTAACAATAGTTCGTCTCCTAGACTCCTACCAACAGGAACATTAAGAAACATTCATTCAATAATGTTGGTGGCTGAGGGGATGATTGTGGCAAAGCTGAAAACAGAAAACATTGTCAACGCAATTATTATTTTACTTAGTTCTTTTTATACTTTTAATGCTGAGTATCCTAAAGGCGTTAATGGACATGGCAAAAATGTATTTATTCTTTTAGAACATTTGCTTTTAAATTCGAATGGCAATTGTAAGGCTCAATTGCCAACTTTTGTCGATCATTTTATTTCTTCTATGAAGTAGAAAACTTTTGTAGTGTTAATTAATGGCATGTAGTAGAGGTTTTAAGTATTCTGTGTTTGCAAAAAATGTGCTATTTCTAATTGTGTGATTGATTTTCTTTAGCTTAGTTAAAAAGATCCTCTATATTGGTCAAATGGTCATGGATATGCACCTGAGAAAAATGCTTGTTTAATGGTAAAAACAACCAAATAAAATTGGTCAAATAAATTGGCAAATTTAACCATTTTTGTTTTTGGTATTTTTGACCAATTTAGGAATTGGTTGTTTTGACCAATTTAGGAATTGGTTGTTTTGACCTATAAAAATTGTTCTTCTCAGGTGCATTCAAATGACCAATTTTTTTTGGTCAATTTATTTTTACTGTGTAGCCTATATAGTGTATATAGTGTGTATAGCCTATATATTGCATACAGTGTGCATAGTATGCATAGCCTATATAACGTGTATTGCCTATACAGTGTATATAGTGTGTATAGTGTGCATAGCCTATATAACGTGTATTGCGTACACAGTGTATGTAGTATGTATAGTGTGCATAGCCTATATAACGTGTATTGCCAAAAATATTGTTTGTATAGTAAGAGTGTATCAAAAAAAGCATATTATGGTAAAAAGTTCTTCGTAACAAGACGCGCGCGGTACAGGGGTGCAGCCGGAAATGAAAGTTTCAAAATTGCAAAACGTTATAGCAGTGAAATATCTGCTGCTAAATGTCCTTCAAAACAGGCCTTGCGCACGAAAAATTTTCATTGAAAAGACAATTTAATTATCTTGATTCAAAATATGGAGGAGGTTGCGCAAGCTATCTTAATTGCAAGAAATTTGAGGGCAAGCGCTGGCCAACGCAGGATCTTTATAGCACTTGAATTTTCTTTGCTTTTTCGTATTTCACTACCTTTGGAATTGGCTTCTTAATCTCATATTGTACTTTATTCAAATTTGCAAATAAATCATTACCAGCTGTACCAGAAAACGTTAAAATACTCATGCGCGTCTTATTTTAGAGAAATTTTTCCAAGAGTCTACTTTTTTGATACACCTGGAATATAATTCGTTGGTTGTTAGCGTCTTAGTGTTTTTTCACGCAACAGTTGACGCTTTTTTTCAGAATTTATTATGCATCTCCATAGAAAGAATTTTAAATCATCATATTTTTGGGATTAATAGGTGAACAACACTTGAATAAAACCGCGTACGTGTATTACATAAATATTTTAGATAATAAATGAGCTCTAGTTGTTCTAAGCATATCGCAAATTTTATTTTCTTATGTATTTATTTTGGAATATTTTTTAATGCATTTATGAAAGAATGAGTGTATGATCTATGAAATAGAACATATACTTAACATTTATTCTATTGTTGTATTTTCCAATGAATGTTGTATTTTTCATACGTCAATTTTTACGTGAGAAAGTGCATCTCATTTCATTTGGTTATAAACTATATATCTATGTGACAACTAGCATTCAACTTATTGTTTTTGGAAATTTAACGTAATTTGTAACAGTGAAATCTTCACAATAATATCATCAGGCATTAAATATTTCACTATTGGCCGATTTCTAAAGGACATGACATAAGCATCCGCATAAACGTAAACTTAAAGGTATTTAGCTCAAAGAAGAACATATGAAGAATTGAATAAAAATTCCACGTCTTTATTCTTGTAAACATCTTAGTAAAAGAAACTAAAGTCTTTCCGCTCATGTTCATTCCACTGTTATAAAACAGTGGATAAACGTTTGGGCACGCTGCCTTACCCTACACTTTTCTTTCATCAAAATCACCATTTTCAATTCATTGATATACCGTGTGAAAACTTTAAGAAATAACTTACAAGAGAATCCTCAGCAGTACAAAAAGTGTGAAGTTCAAAGTAGTTATAAATGTCTTATTTCACGACTCGGAAATTTTTTATTTGGACGTCTTACGTGATATGACGCGAATAATATAAAATCTATTCTTTTTATAATACAATGACATCAAACAAAAATATTTCCACTCGAAGATCAGGCACAAAAATAGAAAATTTACTATAATATACATATACAAGGAAGTTTCTTTACGAAAACAATAAAATCCATAAAGGAAAAAAAATGCGGAAGATTTACGTAGTTATATATTGTGAGTAAAATCATCTGGTCCAGCAACAAACATTCTGTCAACTGGGCAAATGTAAGACTCGCCAGTTCTTACGACATCTTCGTCCAATGGACCAGGCAATGGGGGAGTAACTGTTTCCCCGGTACCACACTAGTAAAAAAGACAGATAGGTAGCCGGAAGTCACGGGCCGATTATGCACCTTCGACATTCCTGAGACACATCCAAAACCACACACTACACCATTCTCGTTGGCCAATGCTACAACAGTTCTTAAGTGTATATGAAACAATTTAAATTCAAGACATAGCCATTTGCTTCGTTGATCACTATTTATGACAGAAAAATATTGGTACGCATCATCGGCATGTACGTAGCTGCCAAAGAACCAAATCAAGTTTTAACATTTTAAAGCTGAAAGTAGTCATGTGTGTTTGGACATGCTTATTGCTGTGAAATGTGTTCAATGTTGATGACAAAATTAATTAACAAAAGATCGAACTTGTTTTGCGACAACCTAAAAACTTCTAAGAACCTAAAAAATCAACCTTTCTAATACTAACACCTATGTACACTATTCCTGACCTGTGCTAAATGTTGCTGTTGGGACAAATAGAGCCGTTGAAGGAGCTTGAAGAAGAGGAATAAGAGGTTGAAACAGATGAAGAATTGCTTATCGAGGTACATCCACTGGAAGAGGCCAGAGTGGGATTAGTGCTAAAAGAATCAGTGAAGACATTTGCATTGGTATTTGTAGCTGCAGAGAGGAAGGGAGATTCAAAAGTCGCGGAAATCGTATTAAAATGAAGATCTTTGCGTAAAGGAATGAATGTTGAAACAGCGCTACTAACTGGAAGAAAGGTTGTAACAGAGCTACAAAGAGTTACAGATGAAGATGCTGAAATAGAAGGGGAAACAGAAAACGACACGGAAGGGGAGGTAGAGGCAGGGAGAGTATTTGTAGATGAAAAATCTCTAGATTGATTACCTTCATTTCTATCTTGCCATAACTTCTTCATCCCTGTTTGAAACAAGTTTCTGGCTGATTTTCCAATTACACCATTGCTGCTAATAAAATCTGTAGCCAAGCCAGGAGTTGAAGCATAATCCCATACGGTTGGACCGCCAGTGGTTGATGAGTGATAATAAATTACCACAACATGATAGCCGTAGTTCTGATGAAGAGTCTGAGTCTACAAAAAAAGTCCAATTCCGAAACAAATCAAATTATACATTGATATTTTAACATCTGCTCCAATACCCTAAGATATATTAAAGAACACAAATCTAACCCTTTTCATCAGCAGCATTTTCTGTCTTGTCGTGGTCGAATATTGTGGTATTGAAACGGACGAGGGCGTCTTTGGAATGAGCTGTCCACAGTTGGAGCATCGCTTACATGCATTGCCCACCGCAGTAGAGCAATTTCTACATATTTTCTTTTGAGAGGTGGTCTAAAAAATTTCTAGTCCTCTATAACATAGAAGTGCACCACCAATTAGGTAAAAATTATTTTTTCCAGAAAATTACTGTACAAATCTTTCAGGCAATTGGATGTATTCCATAGGAAGCAATAATTGCATTTATACACGAATAATACAAAAAGTAATACTACAGACGTGAAGATACAAGACAAGCAGTAACAAGTCATGTAATTCCTTTACCACGGAAACTAATCATCGTACTAAAGTAAATGGTTTGAACCCGGGAGCATCGTTACATGTTTGTAGACGTAGATCGTCCAGGTCAGTAGAGTCCTGAGGACTGTAACGACACAACTCAAACGAGACCCAACACCATCACTAGTACGCAAACTTAACAGCAAGATCTTCTCTATGAGAAAATCTAACATTATATCTGAACGTATTTACTATCGACTCATATGTTCAGTACCACGACCACCCAGACTATACGGACTACCAAAACTTCACAAACCACAAATACCCATGCGACCAATTGTATCATTCTATGGTTCGCCTACCTACGTACTTGACTAACATACTGCAACCAGTTACAAACAAATCAAAACACAAGCTACAATCCACTGAAACTTTCATTAAAAAACTGTGCAATATACAAATACCGGACAAGTATATACTAGTGTCTTTTGATGTGAAATCACTGTTCGCCAGTATTCCACTTAATCTGGCACTTACTTGTACAAAAACCCTCATTACAAACACCACGGACGTACTGCCATTACCGACAGAAGACATTATGGAGTTACTGGAGCTCTGCCTCACCTCGACGTACTTCCAATACAAAGTAACACACTACAAACAATTACATGGGACAGCAATGGGCTCGCCCGTTTCTGTTGTAGTTGCTGAAATTGTAACTCTTCCTTTTCTCGACTGTTTGGTAAAACATGACAATCAAAAACTAGGAACAATAGTTTATCGCAAGCCAACACATATTGACCGACTACTAGACCAATCATCTTACAACCCTACATCAGACAAAGCCACCACAATCAGAACATTAACAAGACGTGCACAAATCATGTGTGATTCACCGGACGCGCTACAAAACGAAAACAACTATCTCAAACGTGTTTATGACAAAAACAACTATAACTCTGACTTTATCAAACGCAACACTTACAAACCCAACGAACCCAACGAAACGAACAACTCAGTGACAAAAGCAACGATACCTTACATCAAAGGTACGTCTGAGACTTACTCGCGTATCTTACGACCATACAACATACGTGTCGCACATAAACCAATCACAACGTTACGACAAGTACTAACGAACATAAAGGACAAAGAACAACCCAATGAACGACAAAGTGCAGTTTACAAAATAAACTGCTCCGACTGCCACGCCTCTTATATCGGGGAAACTGGCAGGAACTTAAACATAAGACTTACTGAGCACAAACGAGCTATTAAGAAACAAGACAAAACTAATCACATTGCCGAACATCACCGAATCACAAAGCAGAACATTGACTGGGACTCGGCAAAATGGATCTTTTACAGTACTGACTATAGACAACGGCTTACATTAGAAAGTTGGTATACCAACTTGGAAAAAAACCCCCTGAACAGATCACAGCAATTACCGGCACCTTACAAACGTCTTATTCACAATACAAACAAACGATCAACTAAAAACATTACAATGACAATTTACAGTTGACACCCACACATTACAACTAAAAACGTCACACCTAAATCACACATCACAACTAAAAATAAAATATTTCACTTCACACTAATTCACAATGACAATACACATTTCCTGTACACACAATACAATGACGTAAGAACCAGATAACAAATACGGCTAACCTGACGTTTACTCCTCATTTGACTCTGAAGATGACTACCGCTAAGGTTGTCGAAACGTCAGTCAACAACAACAAAAACTGTCCTTCTCAGGACTTTATTAACCTGGACGATCATCATTTACAAACATAGAACATAAACATTATAGCAACCCTTTTTTTTCTGTTGCTCCTGCGTGAATACAGCTTAACACTTGGATGGAACTAATTGTTGTTTTTCTTCGCACTCATTTTAGTCCATTTAGCCTCCTTATTTGCTCACGAGCTTCAATTTCCCAGAAGACACTACGCATGGCGCATGCGTGCTTCGTCATTAATAACAATCTCATTCCAGAATGAAACTCAATTCGTGTTTACATGAGATTAAAACTAAATTTCGACCCGGAATGAAAATAGAAATGAACTCGATCTCGATCGAGTTGTGACTCATTCCGGATTCATGTAAACGTACAATGAAGTGGAATGAGTTCATTCCGGATCGATCGTCATTCCAGATTCATGTAAACACTACCTTAGTCAAATAACTAAAATCAATTTTAAAATATTGGTGTAAATGATATTATATATACAATTTTATTTGATTTATGTTCATTTACCTACTTCATTTGCCCTATTTACTTTATAGGCTACTCACGTGTACGAATTGCGTACCTGTTTTAAAAATTTGTGTGCAAGCTGTACCAGAGTGTTGAAGTGCCTGAAATAACTAAACGTTTTTGATATATGTCAACATTTGACTTGTTTTAAAGAACTTTCTCCAACAGTCTACTTTTAATTATAATCATATATGACGACGTTTGAATAAGTAACTATTTAGTTGATTTTTTGAAGTTCAACTTGACATAACGACTCATTAAAGACTCATATGTCATATTATTTTAACCTATCTGTTTTATATGCGTTTTAGCTTTGTCAGCTTCATGTGGAAGCAATTTCAAAATTGCTTCTCAGCAGCATATAAAATACAAAATAAATCATTGACGTTCCAAGTTGCAAATTCTAACTGTCTTTCTATGCAGTGGCGTATAGCAATTTTTCGATTAGAAGCTCTGAATGCTATTCTCTCCTTGACTTTGGGGATAAGATTTGGCATTATTGTATCGGTGAAAAGATGACGATTATGGCAAATCGAAAATTTCAGTTTGGGTACAATTAATAGGTCCAACTTAGATTGTCAAACATTGGAATAAAGATCATGAGATGATAATTAAAAAAAATTTTGTATAAAAGTTTAATTTTTTCAATTATTTTTCAGTTGTTTAACATATAGGCAATCCATATAACGGCCAATTGTCTTATTGCCAATTTTGTCAATTTTGAACTAAAACTCCGCACTTTGCTCTCCCTACTCTGCACTCATCACTCCATCTTCATTATTCTAGACTTCTAAAATATTTCAAAAATTTCAGATTGCACAATTTGACTATTGCACAATAAACAGCAAATGCGGAAGTGGTGTTTGTAACAATATTATTTTGCATTAAGCAAAGCATTCAAGTAATTAAACTCGTTTAACATTTTGCAAAATTAGTCATTCAAGAACAATGTTTGCATCGAACTATCCAAATATGTATTGGCGACAACAAATAAAATGAAAGCAAGAAACAGGACATCATTGTTGATGCCCAACACTTCAAAAGAATTAAGGAAGTCAATAGTTCACCCGAACATTGAAACTGTAAGCAATGCCGTTGAACTTACAACGAAAGAAATCACCGAAAGAGCTGCGTTGTATAAAAATGAATTCAACCAAGAGGCGATACACGATCGAGTGCTTGTTTTGAAAGTAATGCCTGACGACTACGAAATGCAAGAATTAACCTTAAGGTTAGAACTTGGAAATAAAAGCAACGCCATTAACAATAAAAAAATTGTAGAAAACGATGCTTTTATTGAGACATCTAGTCGTGATTCATCGACTGTGAGTCAAAATATAGCGAATTTGTCAACCGACAACATTGACATTGTCGACAAGACAGAGGAAGTTAGTCATGCGGAGGGTCAAATCGACACAATAAATTGTTATCGCATATTTGTGCATTCTTCCTGGCTGACGTTAAACAGTCGTTTCTTTCGAAGTTTGTTGTTCGAATCGGGTATGACCGAGAGCAGTACTCGTGAGTTTAGCATGAAAATTACAATGTCCGATGAAGACGCGTTTTTATTGTTGTTAAAATCCATTTATGATCCGGAAGTCATGGACAACCTTCAAATTGCACAACTTGTAAATGTGTTGAGATTATCGGTGAAATACGACGTTCGATTTTCTACTATTAAGGCTAAGCGTGTCCTGGAAGCATCACCTCTAACGATTGAAGGGTGTGAGTTAATCATTCAGGCAAATTTTACTGATGCCATTCCAGATTTGGAGAGTGTAATGACCAATGTTGAGAAAATACTTCTTGGTGCATTTAAACCCCTAGACGAGACATGGGAATCCGAAAAGTTTTTGAGTCTATCCAAATACGCGCTCCGATTTCTCCTTGGAAGTGATAACCTCGTAGTCCAGTCGGAGAATACTGTATTTATAGCGTTGATGCACTGGATTGAGGTGAATGATGAACTATACGGCGATTTAAACAAACACTCTGATCTTCTTGGTCTTGTCCGCTACGAGTTAATGAAACCATCCTATATCCACGATGTTGTAAGAGATAACAAAATTGCAAACAAACTAGAAGGTTTTAAAGACTTTTATATAAAAGCATTGACTTTTCACGCAATGCCTGCTAAACGGCGAACTACTCCACGCTTTAAACGACAGTTTTGCTGTTCAAAATCTCCCACATTTACTTGGATTCTTTATGCAGACGCCAAGTTGTTTTCATTTACTGAAGATTTCTCAAAAAAATCGGCTAAATCGTCTTGTTTTTGGTACTATGGATTTAAAATGCGACTTCAATTGGATTTATGCCCAAATCAAGACGAAACTTTGCTGTATTTGGTCGTTGACAATCTTGCCGATGATGGCATTGTTGAAATTGTGTATGAAATGGACGTAAAATTTGGCGAAGGTCTGCACAAAAGTATTATGTCTGATTCGTACGTTTTTCAAGGAGACGCGAAAGCATCTGCTGTCGGAAATTATCCTTTTGATGAAAATTATTCTTTGAATGAAATCAAGGAAATCTTAACAGGAAGTTCATGTAATGTTGCTATTATATTTGAAATCACAATTGATAAAATAGTCAATGATTAATTACTGCATTAATCAAGTTTTAAGTCCAGCGTTGAACGCCAAAATGTCTTCAATTTTACCATCAAAACAGGGTATTCAAGTTCTTACATTAGTTGAATTGTTTAATAAATTTTTTTGGCAGCATATATATGTATATATCACTTCGAAAACGTACATCATGTAATTAAACAATACTAAAAAAAAACAAGGAAAATCAAATTATTATCTTTACAAAGGATTGTGTATTTCATTGAAGTCATTTCTACGAGTGAATCCCACTCAATTTAGTCCAGCTGACAATTATCCTGGCTCCAAATGATGTTCACATTGTGGGGGGTTTTAATGCTTATTTGGGAGTTTTAAGCTGGCGTTTGGTTGCGTATTTCTCGTATGTTTTCCAGTCATTTCTGATGTTAACAATGAGCTGTGCCAGTTGACAATTTTTTTAGAGCAAAAGATTACGAGTTATTGTTTTTGTGATTTATGAGCTGTACCACTAAGAAAACATACAAGAGCATTAAAAAACCTAGAACCTATTTTATATTTTTTGCAGTGCGTCAAACTGACTGACAAAAATATTAAACAATGTCCACTTCAACGCCTAGGTTACTTTGCTTTGCTATCAAAAGTTTGTAGAAGCACTTTTATGGTACTTTAAATTCAATCATGCTTGTATGTGTTTATTTTTTCAAATTAACCTAAAGTTCATAGCTACATTTGAATAAACTTAAAGAGTTTATATTTCAAGATGTTAATTCCCCGAGTTCGAGCAGTCACGGCAGGAGATACTGTTGTCGTTGGCTGCTTTAATGTCGACGTAAACATCTAATAACTTGTAACAATAAACGCACGTTCAAAAAATGCAACGATACTTCTTCCACTTATCTAAAAAAAGTATTATAAGTATCTCTAGTGTCTAATCACCATGAAAAATGTACTTCCAATTTTCAAGTTTTGTGGTAGCGTAACCAGTTCCATAAATATTTTGACATGCATGTATGAATATTAACTATTTCTTCAAAATTATCAGTGCTGGCAAAGTAGCGGTATTGTTTTATAAAAATGTATGGAAGCTTTGAAGTTTTTACTGATAAATTTAGAGCTCATTAGAATTTCTTGTTTCACAAACTTTTTACTTTATAGAATATTTAATGAGCAGGTTCTGTAATAGCTCAGGAAATTGTTGTGTGTGTTTAAACATATTAATGAAAAACCTCTGGTTCTACCTCACAAGAATTTATGCACTAATTTGTTTCGTATAACAAATGATGCTTCTGATACTTATCAAGTGAATATGTAATACGCTATTTTGTTGTCAAATCAAGTTTTTCCGTACAAACCCGAGTGTTCACCGTACGAATATAGTAGTATAGAGACTACCAGTTCTGGCGCAACCTCGGTCTGGGAGGCTGCGTACATAAATCTGAGCGCTCCAGCACTAGTTCGTTTACACATTACTTCGTACTGTGTATACTTGGGTCCCGACAAAAAATCGCACCAGTTCTGGCGCACCTCACACCTTAAGACCTAGTATACGCAAATCTAAGCACATAGTAAGCACATATATCGACACAAAAAGATCACTTTAGCCCATCGCTTAAATAATACAACACGGGCTTCCCGCCTCAACCACAGCCCGCTCGACCTGGTGGGTCACACTCCAGATAGGATCAGTCGTCCTACGTTGTTCGCCACCCTCGAGTTCGCCAGGCGCATACAAATACCGCAATATAACATCCGATGGCAAGCGTTGCTCATTTAAACCAACTGGACGAAGCGCCGGCTCAGCGGGTTTGGCCTTAACGCTCTTCTTCCGAATCGCAAGGTAGGGCTTTTCGCCCGTCAAACGAGCAGTTTCATTATTGAGCGCTTTAACCACCTCAGGTAATCGTGATACCCATTCTTTGTTCCGAGTTTCGGCCTCAGCCAGCTCGCGATGATACTGGTAACCGAACAATCGCTCCGTCAATGTCAAATCTTTCTACGATCCCCTGATCTCTATGAACTCCGACCCTACCCCGTCGAGTCGTGACACCATGTTTTTACACGCTTTTTGCACAGCCCCACGAAACTCCGAGCCAGGGTCGACTTGTAAAACTTTAGACCATTGAAGAGGCCCACGGGCATAAATGGACTCTAACGCCTTTCCAACCTGGGTCACCATCTTGTGTGTGATTGCCTGGCCCTCCTTATACCGACTTGCTACGTCGACGACCTTCAGTGCGTATTTGAATGTGCGTCTTCCGACTCGATCGTGAGGCAGATACAAGAGATCCGCCTGGTGCTAATGGGGTGCCGATCATTCGGGGTGCTGATGTCAAACTTAGGTCGGCGGATAGCACTTTGCGCTGGTGCGGGCAAGTAGAGCTGCCAGATGGCCTGTTTTGTTAGCCATTCATGAGCCACATCCTCGCCGACGCCCGCCTCTTTTGCCAGCCTTGGGATAGAAGCACGACTGCGCCAGTACATCACAGGACTGTAGTACATGTCTGCGAGGCGTACCTCAACGCTTCTGTCCGTAGAAACGCGACCATGCTTTGTCGGGACGACGGCTTCGAAACTACGACGTGTCGTAGGCGACTTCTCTTCAGCTTCGAAATCGTCAGGAACACTGCCAGTTGTCAGAGGCACAAGGTCGAGCACCTTCTGATCATTAGCTAGAGTGTCTTCACCGAACACTCCCCTTAATCTTTTTAAAAGCCCCTCTACAGAATCCTCTTCTATAAACAGCCGCCCCGCCAGGACAGCATGGCGCCCGCAGACAGCCGTTGCTTGACTTTGCACTGCAAACGTATTCGTAACCATGACGCGCTCGAGAAAGGCCTCCAGAAAAGATCTGCGCAGCTGAGGCTCTGTATATGCTTCCTCTATTTCAGCGAGCGCACGTCCAAAGCTATCGAAGACAAGCACATGCGTTCCAGTACAACAAACAGTTAGCCAGTGGTGTCCCCCTTCGACCGGATCATGGAGAGGGTAGATGTTGCCCGTGTTGCTGATGCAAAACTGCACATCGTGGAGATGTGGTAGGCTGTCGTAGCTACAGACCCCAACGAACCGTCCTCGGGCTCGTTCGGCCTTCAGGAGGCGTTCGATGTCAACGCTCGAGAGCGGGTAATCCATCTTCCATTCCTTATACTATAATCATCACATCAGAACTAATTATGCCAGTATAATTACAAGAAGCACAGCGGGAGTCTAAAAAGCACAAAAGTGCTGGTTGCCAGCGTTAATCAGTTCTCGATGATGCGCCTGTAAACATTCTCGAGGTGTTGGACCGCTTCTACAGTAAGTGGGCAGCGGCCGCAATGAGCAATGCCGCCTTTTGCCCGCACCGCGCACGGTAGGTTCTTTTTCCCATGTCGACAAACGCTTCCCGAGACATTGCTCTCCATCCCTCCAGCGACACATCGGCAATATCGCCGAGCTCCAGAAGTGGAAAACCTCTCATTCGCAGACCTTGACCCCAGAGATCGTGGCAAGCCGCTGCAGCAACACAATGGCACGCAACCCAAAGCTCCTCTGAAGACCCATCATTAGCTTGATATATTTTTCATATCTTTCTGATTAAAATTAATTAATATCAACGGTTCTTAGATCTAGAAAGATCGGATACCCTTTGGAAATGTACTCTCCAGTGTTGAATTTCAACCAAAAGGACACCTCATTAACTTGTTGGTAACCACTTGTTGGTAACCACTTGTTGATAACCACCCAAACACGGGCGATTATCCCAATTGGATCACTCCTACAAGCCCAACCTTTAGTTGGGTAAAAAATATCCGTGTGGAGCTCAACCAGCTGGATTCACGCAGAGTGGTGTCGTGGCTGATATGCAGCCGGTTCAGCACATCCTGAGTATTATGGAGAGCTCGATCGGGAAGTTGCAATACGCGGATTGTGACGTATTCGGCTTACAGAAGCTTGATCCCAAGAAGGCTTTGAAAGCTCTCCCCTTGCAGACCTACTCCTATGAAGTAGACAGTCGCGTTGGTTATGCCTTTGCGACAAACACAGCTGGCGGAGCCGGAAACCCTGACTTTGCTGCCGATAATACCCTCAAAAGGGAGCCTGGTGTCAAGCTCTCTTCAACCAAATCCTTCTCGAATACGGTGCAAGAGAATATCGTCAGTGTTCTCAGCGGGAACTTTCAGTATACGATTCGCCCATTCATCGCCCTCTTCCCGAGTGGGGATAGTTGGCTGCCTCCGGGCACACAAGTGAAGATTCGCGTCGACCTCCCACAGGGCGATCTCAGCCACTAAATGATCATTTCTAACAAAGGGGGTGGTGTGGATAATGCAGACGCTATCAGCAGAATATGTATAGAACTGCTATAGCCGGACTTTCTCTACCCCATCTATTGCATGAGAAAAGACTACAGACACCAGGTCTCGATCGCTAAGGAGCTGTATTTCCACACCTGGTGCCCCAGGGTAGTTCAGAAGTTGTTGAACGATAACGCTGGCACTCTGGCGCTCCTAAAAAATGCCCCGATCATCAGGAATATGATTCTCTTCTTCAGTGACTCGAGGCTTGGAGACGCACCAGGACTTGCCCCAGGTGCCGCTGCTGACTCCAGTAAACGATTGGCTATGATCCACGCCAACTTAAGCCAGCTCCGCATCATGGTGAACGGGCAGAACCTCTTTGATCACCCTCTGAAGTTCTCGTGGCAGTGCAGCGCTGGCGAAGCTAACCAAACAGGAGCCACTTATTTCTACGACCCCAATAAAAGTTCCTACCTGAGAGGCTACAACTTGGTCCAAGTGTTCTTTGAAAAGACGTACAGCACGGAAGTGCCCATCACGGCCGAAGACTACTGCAACAACTGGTTCATGATCCCGATCAATCTCAATCTGGACCCTTTCACAGAGAACGCAAAAGTGCGAGGCAATTTCACAATCGATTATCAGTTCACGGCAGTGGCGAACAGTCCTATTGCGCTCCCCTCCGACGCCACCACGTCAATCAATGTGAACCTTCTGTGTCTCGATCAGTATATGTACACGATGTCGAAAGAGAAACCCATCAGCTGAAGTGTCGTCTGAGTTATACTGTAATTATCACATCAGAACTAATTATGCTAGCATAATTACATTTGAAGTGTGAAGTTTTTTCTTATAGTGTAATTATACTAGCAAAATTACAAGAAGCAACATGGAAGGTGGTGATCTGAAAACGAGCAACCACCCTTATCGCGGGGTGACCTCGCGACGACAAACCGCCAATATGCTG